TCGCGTGCTTGTGTTTGTGTGTGTGTGTGTGTGTGTGTGTTGGACTTCATTTATCACTTTTATATATTGCAACATTTGTTCTTAGGCCCATCATGATCTTATTTAAGTTACCAAGTATTAAAAATTCAAAAAAGACTATTGTTAAAACAGGCCAGAAGACTGGACTATTTATAAACTTTAATAACTTAAAATAAGTTTGATTTGATAGCTATTGTTTATTAAAACATAGAAGTAAACAAATTATTTATCATGGATTTTGTCCTTATAAATTTTTTATTCTTTCATGAAATGTTTCTTCTCTTTCTCTAATTATCCTAAAAATCCCAGAATTATCAGTTATTACATACTTTATTTGGTTCTTCCTGGCATTTTTTTGTTCATTAAATTATTCTTTAAACATTGTTTTTTAATGAACAGATATTGTTGCCATTACAAGAATATGTTACCCCATCCTATATTAAAGTGAGTAGTTTAAAACAAATAGGTTTATTGATTTTTGAATTTTTAAAAATATAAACCACAGTTGGGTTTACTCTAAAAGTGAAATTTTAATTTTAACTACTGTCACATCATTTTCATATAATTAACTATGTCTTTAAAGTAAATTTCATCTTTAAAATTATGTCCTAGAATATTTGTTATTGGCTAAACAATACTATTCTTTTTTTTGTAACAGGATTTTCTTGACATTTTGAATCTGTTTTTCTACAGCATTATATCTTGGTGTCTATTAAAGCAACAAGATTTCTCTTAGTTATTACTGAATTACAAATGCTCTTCAACGCATAATGAATTCACAACCTATTAAACCATCATTAAGTTGAAAAAAGTCAGTCAAAAATGCATTTAACCTACCAGAAAATCACAGCATAACCTTCCTTGAATGTATTCCAGAACACTTAACTCAGCCTACAGCTGGGCAAAATTATCATACACAAAGCCTATTTCATACTAAAATGTTGACTGTCTCCTGTAATTTATTAAATACCTTATCAAAAAATATATAAACACACACACACACTGGCAGCACTGTATGCTGTGTAGTCCAGGTAGTTTCCCCTCCGTCCCAGGGCTGACTGGGAGCTGCAGCTCACTGCCACTGCCCAGATCACCATCAGCACTGTGCTGCCTAGCAGTGGTCCCAGGAAGAGATCAAAATTCAGTCTATTTTTACTCATAAAATCAAAAAATTGGTTGGGCATTGTCTGTATTAGTCTAAATGTGTCTCAGCAATCAGAAAGAAACAGGTTAGTCCACTGATCCAGCCTTTGCTTTTTTTTGGTAAATTATATCGCACCTAAATAGACTTAATACGATTTGGGATTTGCTTTCCTCGGGTAGCTCCCTGTTATTTCAGTTTGGATAGTGAAGTATTATCAAAGTATTAGAATTGATAACATTTAGGTTTGTTATGTAAGAGGGTAGAGGGATGGGGAGGTACTGCTGATTTTCAGATCTACTTCTGATTGTATTATGAATGCAGGGAAATGTCCTTTTATTAGACCTCAAATCCTCCTTGGCCAGAACAATCCGTGCAATTCCAGCTCTAGTTCTTAATCTCAATGTTGTGTTCTTTACCAGTCTTATAAGAAAGAGCAAAAGAAAACCGTTGCCAAAAAGAACTTTTCAGAAGTTAAATGCTTCCAGGGAAATTCTAATTCAGTACAGCCTAGGAGCAGGGCAATATGTTAATCATCAAATCATCCTGTTTTATGCTAGAGTTAAACATCATTTTGTCTAGAATTTGGCTTGGATTATTGACTCTTGACTAAGGAGTTATTTACTCTTACTAAGTCAGCTATCTAAAATCAAAAAGAATACATGTATGAAGTTTTGTTTGGTTTTTATATTCAATGTCAAGGCTTCCTTGGAGAACATGGTAGAGAAATTTACTAGAGAAAGCCCTAGTGTATTTTAATATCGAAGATACAGATGGAAGGTTTACTGATTGATGATTTTATTTTTACTTATTTAATTATTTCTTGTATGTGTGTGTGTGTTGCTGGAGAGCAAACCCAGAACCTCATGTTTGCTGTTTTTATGATAATCTTCTCTCCTTTGTATCGCTTAAACCTGTTTTATGATTTATACTCTGAAATACCTGACATAGATTGACTGTTGCAAGACAGGGAGGTACATGCTAAAACAAAATGCTAAGAAAAGCTGTTGTCAGTTTTCCTCAATTTAACAAGTATTCTAAAATTCCATTTCCCTGAAATTTTGTAATTAGTAAAATGTTCCAGTTTTCAGGGTTGACATTCCATCTTTGGGTTTGTGGGTCCCCTGTGTATTTTCTCCAGAAGTAATATTTGCTGTAGTTAAAAAGTGGAAATCGGACTTCCCGTTGTCAGTGATTTTAGGCAAGTCACTGAAGTGGGAAAGAAAACAAAATCTGTACCTTCCACCTTGTGACACTCCCAAAAGAGGAAAATGTGGTTGCTGGAAAATTCTTTTAAAAGTCAAAGTTATTAATTTCCATTTATAGATTGTTAAAACCATGATCCATTTTAGTTTTCCTCTTGTGCGTCAGTTGTCACTGTTTTTAAGTTGATAGCATTAGTCTTGTCAGCCTTAAGAAGCCACACATAATGTCTGTAGATTTTTGGTCTTTATTGTTTCTCAACAAAAACTATCACACTAATTTTACACACACACACAAACAGACCCTCTCTTCAATCTTCTGGAAAGCACCCATTGCCACAAAGCATGTAGAGTTCTAGAAAACAAAAACAGAAACAAGACTGCTATTCTAGGTGGGCTACTTTTCTTCTCCCTAGAAGTTGTCCTTGCTTAATTTTAGAAGTTAACATTTCCCCTGGGATAATTAACTCCAACTTAATGAACTTTGGATTTTACTCTGTAAATATAGACTATATTGAATTTCTTTTTCTAAATACCCTTTTGAATGTCAGTTGAAATTATGGGCAAAGTTTGAAATTCCTAAATGTTGGCCAGTGGTAAATAGTATCCCATTTTCTTATGTGGAAGGTACATTTGAAAGTACAGAATGGTTGCCTAAGTTTATTTTAATAAGAGAATGAATAAAGTAAATAAAGATATATCTATTCAGTGGGAAATTATTGAGTGATAATTGTTGGTGGTCATTGAATTCCTTATATGGGAAGTACTTAGGAATGAGAGAGGGCTGAGGCTGGGGCTCAGTGGTAGGTAGCACACTTGCCTGGCATGTGTGAGGCATTGGGTTCATCTCAGCACCACATATAAATAAATAAATAATGTGCTTATCTGCTTCTTATTAGAAAGTATTTTATTCTAATCCCACTTATTGACTACTCTGTTACTCATAATGGTGAATGAAACTAGTGCCTTTGGTTTTAAAACTGTTTTCTCTACATAATGACCTTTGGAATATAGGAGTGTCTTACAGACTCAAGAAAGTTTCTTTTGTAAAATTTAGGTATTTTGGAAATCTTACTTATTAGCATTAGTCTAAGAGTTTTAAGCAGAAAAATCTGCTTGATTCCACTCTGCAACCTAAGAAAACATTTAAGTCTTAAAAGAGTTTTATTATAAAAATCATTTGCAAGGCAGACAGGGTGGTGTACCCTTGTAGTCCTGTGATTTGGGAGGCTAAGGCAGGAAGATCACAAGCTCAAGGCCAGCCTCAGCAACTTAGTGAGACCCTAAGCAACTTAGCAAGACCTTGTTTCAAAAAATGAAAAGGATTGGTATATAACTCAGTACTAAAGCACCCTTGGGTTCAATCCCTAGTACCAAAAAAATTTCCTAAGTAGCTAGAACTAATTATATGAAGTCAAATTTTCTCTTCCATTCCCTAGAAATGTTGTTGTTATTAAGTATTTGGTCTATATTCTTCCTGGTATTTTTCTTTTCTTTTTTTTTTTTTTTTTTGAGTTTTGTTATTCTTTATTTCCCCCTGATGTTTTTCATACATACACAAACATAAAATATGCATGCATGTATTTTTTTAATTCATAGTAAGTACTTATATTCTGCTGATTGCTCTTTTCCATTCTTAGAACTGAGTAGCATTTCGATATATTAATGTACTCTAATTTATTTAATCAAATTTCTTTATATAAGAAATTAGGTTGTTTCAATTTGTTGATATTACCTTCTGTTTTAAACAGCTGAATTATCTTTTTAATTGTAATTTAGGTAGAGATCTTACTTTCATAAGCAAATCTGCTTAAGGGTCAAAATCTTTAATTTCCCATTGGGAACTACGGTTGATTTTTTTGGAAGAAATGTGTTATGTTACTCTTCCACACCAGTCACTGTGCCGAGCTTTTAGGATACAGAAATGAACAGGACAGCTGCTGCTGTCGAGGACATACCTGGGGAATGCTTCACTGTCAGCGCTGCGGTCAGGCCTTCCGTCCTCTCTGAGGGTGGTACCTGAATCCTCTAGCAAAACAGTCCAGAGCTATTCCTTAAAGCTCCTTACTAGGATTCCCAGGAGTCATGACAAACTGTTGTTTTCCTTAATGATAATTTGTGCATATTTTGATGGCCAGATGATATTTTTAAAGCCGGTCATGTTTTTTACCAAAACATTTATTAAGGAAAGATTTATCAAACATGTACTGTGCATTGAACTAGTCACTAGACCTGCAAAGATGAAATCAGGACAAGAGAAAATGGTGTAGATTCACAGTTCACCTGAATCTGCCTAGGACATAGCCATTGGTTATTTTTAGATCCCACTATTAACAGCAGCCAGTAGAATGCCCTGGCTTCTTAAGCAAACTGGCTTCTAAACCTGATGTCTCAGTCTTCATTGTAAAGACTAGTTGTAGGGTATCTGAACTAACTGAAATGTAAGGTTCAATGTTCACCAAAAAGCTTTCACTTTAGTGAAAGGCAGTTTTCCAACAAATTTCTTCTCATTATCTCATCTATCCGTGCATATTTTTAAATTAAAGCTATGTACCAAATATGAATCATGGTGGGGATTTTTATTTGTACATTCTAAAATATTATTAATCAGTCTATATAATTTCTTTTCTTTTTTTCAGCGGGTCCATATGGAATATTTGCTGGTAGGGATGCCTCCAGARGACTGGCAACATTTTGCCTAGATAAGGATGCACTTAGAGATGAATATGATGATCTCTCAGATTTGAATGCAGTACAAATGGAGAGTGTTCGAGAATGGGAAATGCAGTTTAAAGGTACCTTCCTTTTGTTGGGTTCTTTAAAAAATTAATTACATATAAAGTAGTGTATACTATTTCACATCTTTTAAAAGCCTATGGTTGTCATCTCTTTCATTAACATCATTATTAGATGATATTTTAAGCATAGCTAAATATTAGTATGATTGTTACATGTGATAGTTATTTTGAAAATCCACGTTATTACTGACTTTTTACCAAGCTTAGTGCCAGCTACTTAGGAAGCTGAGGCAGGAAGATCATTTGGACCCAGGAGTTTGAGACCAGCCTAGACAATATAGTGAGACCCCCAACTCAAAAACAAAAAACAACAAAAAAAAAAACCTTGGCTTGGTACAAACTTTAAATCTCAAAAATTGTGAAACTTTTAGCCTTAAGACTTAACATATATTTCTTTAAGTTTTTTTAGTTGTCAATGGACCTTTGTTTTATTTATTTATATGTGGTGCTGAGAATCAAACCCAGTGCCTCACACATGCTAGGCAAGTGCTCTGCCACTGAGCCACAGCCACAGCCCCTATTATTCCCTTTATCATGCCCTGGTGACGTCAGTTTCTACCACCTGGGTGGTACTGTCAGCTGTGGAGCTGACCACCGGGTCCCCTGGAACAGCTGTTCTGGCTCCCTGGGTGCTTGCACTGGTCATGTATAAAGTAGTTCTCTTAACTCATCTTTGACTAGCTGACTCAGGTAACTTTTTCACTTAGCCTAGGTTTCAATTCCTGACCAAGAAAGAAGCATGTTGATGTATATCACCTACATGCAGAGTTCTAAATTAAACACCTGGTCACATAAAAACAAGCAAAGTAGCAGATCTAAGAAGAGTTTGATAGGGGAAAGGAATAATAACGTGACGGGTCACACGCTAAAACCTCAGAAACATAGGGTAAGAAGTAACAAATGAATTTTGATCTTCTCATGTTTTTTCTGGATGACTCCTGAGTCACATTTTCTCCCCAAGAATATTTCCAACTGAATCTGCTCACCATGTGATTCTCTACCTCATGGGCTCCTTGAGCCACCCCCTTCTTCAGCCCCAAGAAAGTCACCATTTATTTTTCATGGTCTGTTCTCCAAATTATTAGATTTTATTCATCCCACTTATATGTAAAGCCCAATATATTTATACATTTTAAATAACTGTTAGCCCTACATTACCAGCACATTTCCTTGATTATAATATTTTGAACTGTTAAAGAGTTAAAGAACTAGGCTAGTGGGGATCAGTTCTAGCATTTGAATGGCCATGCAGTCAATTACCAGCACCACCACCAAAAAAAAAAAAAAAAGTAAAGAACTATTCCGAGACTCATAGTACACTTTTAGATCAGCTTCAGAGTACATGTGTCTAGTCAGATTGTTGTGGCACAGACTTGTAATCCCAGTGACTTGGGAGGCTAAGACAGAAGGATCATAGGTTCAAGGCTGGCCCCGGCAACTTTGTGAGACCATGTCTCAACATAAAAAATAAAAAGGCCTGGGTATATGACTTAGTGGTTATGTGTCCCTGGGTTCAATCCTAGTACAAAAAAAAAAGAAGGAGGAAAGTTCACCTCTCCAGACATAACCCAAAGGTCTTGGATGGATGGCTCTGAGGTGGGTCCTATATATATATATATATATATATTGTTCTAAAAGTTCTCCATGTGTCTCTGACACCATATCCAATTAAGAATCACTGGCATAGAGCACTGTCCTGCAAAAACTAATGCCCAAGCCTTGAAAGCTCCTGCATTCTTTTGTTCAGGCTTTCCGGAGGTTTAAAGACAAGCCATGGTGAAGCATTAGGAAGATCTGGGCTTACTCTGTATGATCCCAAGAGAGACAAGCACCTTACCTTTGTTTGATGGAGTAGTGAAATAATTTGACCATTACTGATTTTCTTTTGATGTATCTTTCAGAAAAATATGATTATGTAGGCAGAYTCCTAAAACCAGGGGAAGAACCTTCAGAATATACAGATGAAGAAGATACCAAGGATCACAATAAACAGGATTGAACTCTGTAAACAACCAAAGTCAGGGGCCTTCAGAACTGCAATTCTTACTCCCTTTCACAGAATGTCCAGTGTCTTTGGGTTTGATTCACCTGCTGCGAAAAAACATTCAACAGATTGTGTACAAGATGTATGGGTCTCACTATGAAGACTTGAATACTAGACATTATTTATGCTGCCAGACTCATTTGTTGCAGTTGTGTGTGATGTCTGGTGGGGCTTCATCGTCCTGAAAAGGAGGAAACAGGGATTTCTTAAACTGCAAGAAAGTCACAAGGTTACTTTTAGCTTTTTCTCTTTCTCTTTTATCTTCCTCTCTTCCTCCCTTCTTCTCTTCTTTCCTCTCTTCCTCCCTTCTTTCCTACTTTCCCTTCCCTTTCTCCCCCTGCCTTTTTCTGAGATATCAAAGACAACCAGATATGTATTTGCTACTCAAGTGTACAAATCTCCTCAGAAAACAGCAAGGGACTCCTATTTCATGCTGCGTTTTTATTCAGGCATTGAGGAGGGAGGAGCCCTGAGCAGGGGAGGGGGCAGTTACACATTGAGTTGAGTAGTTTTGGCTACTGAAACATGAAAATGTGAATTCCCAAACTTTTCTTTTTAGGCTTTGTCAGGGAAAAGAAAAAAAACATTTCCAAGAAATCTTTGGAACTTAGAATGGATTTAAGTGGGTTAAAGTCAAAGCAGTTTCCCAATTGAGATCATTTGAAACCAGTTTTACTCCTTTCCTTCTTTCCTCTAGGTCAAATCAATATTTATTGTGCCTTATTTCATGTCCATAGACTTGAATTATTTTTAGGGTAAGCCCCTATATGAATTCAGAAGTCACTACAAGCAGCATTGAGACTGAAGTTGGAATATTCTGTTGATCACAAAACCTTGATGTCATTCTGTGTATATAGAATGTAAAAGGAATATTCAGTGTTAACTGCCATATATGTTAATATACACAAACTTAATTAGCAATGTCATGGCCAAATGCATTCCCCCCGTGCTTTTCTCTTAAAAAAAAAAAAATCAACAACTCTTATCCCCAACAGCTGCCTAATTTCAGGAGTCTGACCCTCACATCTCACTTGTGTGGGTGCATGGTCGTGGTGTGGATGTCTGTGTGGGTGTGTCTGGGTGTGTGAGAGTACCTTGGAAGGCACTCTTTCTGCAGATACTGTAAATACAAGTACCGTTTTAATAAAGCATGTACAATAAACCAAAATAAGCTTGAGTTGGACTTTATACACAAAACTGTTAAACAGCCAGTGCATTATGATATGGTGGTAAGGTTGTGCTTTTGATTCAAGATAAGGAAAAAATCTTGGAAATGAAAAGAAGGCACTGGTTAACCAAGTTGTACACATTGTACCACATTCAGTGTAACTTAGGAAGAAATTCCACTTTTGTGGAACATTCTCAAGAGATCTGAGATATTCAGGTAAGAGTAGATATAAAGTGTACATTTTTTTTTTTTACTTTATATTTTGATGGGAACTGATTATATTAGCAGCAATAGCACTCCAGGCAGTAGTTACTGAACACAAAACAATAGAGCATATTGTATGATACTAAATTCTTTCATTATTAGGTTGAAAATGCCCTTTCTAAAAGCCCTCATCATCAGTTCCCTGGTTTCATCATGACTGTAGGTTCTTGGTTGGGGACAAGTTGCACCAACTTATTCTACTTAAGTCACTAGACCTGTGTAATGGTGTAACATGCAGAAGCCATCAAAGAAAGGGAAACTTAGCTGCAGCAGGAAGCTGAAGTCTATAAATACTGCATTCTATTCAGTCTGCACTGTTTTCTAGAAGGTGTGATCTTCAGCCAAATCTTGACTGAAGGATAGTTGTGAGGGCTGGAGAATATTGGTCAATGCTTTGTGTTTTTATGTAAAATACTTTCTCAAAATTTGTTAAAGAACTCCTGTGTAGTAAACTGATACATATATGAATCATTCGAGCCTAAAGTTCAATAATAAATTTGCACTTGTGAATAGCAAAACACTTAAGTATTCTTATTCATGCAGTAAAAAATTGTTAAAAAATGAATAATTTTGTGTTCTGGACTTGAAATAAACTGTTCTGTAGATGATTTCTCAATTCTAGCTGAATGTTTCTCATTCTCCAGTTTACTCGATATCTCTGATTGAGGGGGATCTGGCTTGGTGGTATTGTTCTACTGTGTTCCCCCTTAGGCCAACTTTCCTAAACTTGCCTCATTGGAATCACTTGTCCTTAAGATCAAGATTCATGGATCCTGTTCTACCACTGGTTGAGGCAAAATATTTGTGTCAGGGGGTCCTCAGGTAATCCTTGGTACCATGCACTTGAAAGCACTATAAGGGGTTGGGTGGGGAAATAACTCAGTTGGTAGAGTGCTTGCCTAGCATGTATAAGGCTGCCCATCAAATCCCCAGCACCACCAAAAAATAATTAAATAGCACACTGATATTTTCAAAGTAGAACTTACTCATAGCTAATTGTGATCTAATTGCCTACATTTAGTTTTGTATCACTCCCTAAACAAGAGTTTAAAAAAAAAAAAAGTTCTGAGTTTAAAATCGGGAGATTTCAAATAAATGTAATACATGGCTTTAGAAAGTAGGAAATTTTGGCATTTAAATGTTTTCTTTTGCCAGCATCTCTAAATTGGCATATATCCTCCAAATAAAAGCCGTGTTTGTTCAAGCCAGTTTCTGCACTAGAAAACTAACCATCCAGACACAAGCAAGGTTTTTGAAGCCTTGGCTGTGGTGCAAAGGGTAATCCTACCTGCCTTTCTGAGCTCTGTGGAATCTGACAGTACACCCACCTCTACCACAATCTAGAAAGCTAAATTTAATACATTGAATTAGCACTGGAGAAATTTTCTCCCTAGAAAACTTGGTCATTGGACTTGTTATCCAAGTAACCTGCTTAACCTCTTGATGACCCAAGTGCAGCAAGTTGCTGAGAATGTGTGCTGTTGACAGGTCCACACAAGGTGGACTCCACAGAGCTGTTACAGATCAAAATAAGCTAGCAATACAGTAGTAGTTTGTAAGTTGCTTCCAGAATATTGCAAATAGAAGCCATGGATTATTACATGATGATATTGAATGAATGAATTCCCCTATTGAAAGAAAATGCTAGAGTGGGTGTTATGATCCATTGAGATCAGCTCTCTCGGTTTGGTACATAATCAGACTGATGTATGTGGCTGTGGCCAAGGGAAAAAAAAAAATCAAGACCTGCCACACTGCTACTTTTTAGGCAAAAAGCATAATTCCCAAACAATGTTAGAAACACCTCTACCTCCTTGTCACACCCCTGAGAGTCACTTTGAAAAAACTTGGTGCTAAATAAGCTTTGCCTTTGTTCCACCATCACTGATGATGGAGAGGACACTGGCTGCTTGTGATTGCCCCGTTCAAGAGAGTACTTGGTATGCTGTGAGCACTGGTTTATTTTTTAGATTTTTTTCATATTGTGTCCAATTAGGACCCAAGTAAACCTCATGAAGTTTTTGGTGTAAAGAGCCTAATAAATAGTTGCATATACTCTCATCAAGATATCAATGACATTCTTCACAGAAATAGAGAAAACAGTCCTAAAATTCATTTGAAAGAATAAAAGATCCTGAATAGCTAAAGCAATTTCTAAGCCAAAAAAGCAATGCTAAAGTTATCACACACAATAACTGACTTTAAATTATCAACAGAGCTAAAGTAATAAAAACTGCATGGTACCGGTGTAAAAACACATAGCCAAGAGAATATACCTGAAGACACAGAGAAACACATCTATAGTCATCTGATCCTTGACAAGTTGCTAAAAACACCTCAGTGAAAAAACAGCCTTTTAAATAACGCTGGGAAAACTGGTCGTCCATATGTAGAAGAGTGAAAATGGAACCTATCTCTCACACAAAAAAACTCAAAATGGATCAAAGATTTAGGAGTTAGATCAGAAACTATGCAACTTCTCAAAAACAGGGTCAATACTCCAGCGTGTAGGCACAAGCAACAACTTTCTCAATAGGACCCCTAACATTTAGAAAATAATGCCAAGAGTTAATATATGGGATGGCATCAAGTTAAAAAGCTACACAGCAAGGAAACAATTAGGAATATGAAGAGAGAACCTGCAGAATGGGAGAAAATCTTTGCTAGCTACTCCTCTGACGGGAAGAGTATGTATAAAAAAAAAAATTGGGATACATCTTAAGTTTTATATCTAAAATGAATTTGATGATATATCTATTAAAGTTTTTAGCTATTATTTAAACATCAAGTATTGATTTCAAATTGTTAAAAATTTATTTCAAATTGTTAAAAATTTGTGGAATATAATAATTATGTACCACCAGAAAAAGAGAGAGAATAAAGTAGTGATGGAGACAAATAAGGCCTCTGATCTCATTGAGCTTGTATTTTAGTGGAAGGAGACAGAAGGAAAATAAACAAGCAAACAAAGAAATAAGAAAGAAAATTCCAGAAATCAATGCACTCTAAAAAGAGACTCTAGATAGGGCAGAGGAGTGGGAGGGGGAAAGGAGGGGGCAGGGGATTAGCAAGGATGATGGAATGTGATAATTATCATCATCCAAAGTACATGTATGAAGATATGAATTGATGTCAACATACTTTATATACAGCCAGAGAAATGAAAAATTGTGCTGTATACATGTAATAAGAATTGTAATGCATTCTGCTGTCATTTTTTTAAAAAATCAATTAAAAAAAGAATCAAAAAAAGAACTCAAAAAACTTTCCACTAAAAAAAATGTTAAAACCAATTTAAAAATTGACAAATGAACTAAACACTTCTCAAAAGAAGAAACACAAATAGCCAACAAATAAATGAAAAAATGTTCAACATCTTTAGCAATTAGGATAATGCAAATCAAACTACACTGTAAGATTTTATCTTACACCAGTCAGAATGGCAATCATCAAGAACACAAACAATAGGGCTGGGTTTGTGGTAGAGCACTTGCCTGTGGGAGGCCCTGGGTTTGAGCCTCAGCAACATATATAAATAAATAAATAAATAAACAAACAAACAAACAAACAAATAAATAAATGATCAATCCATTCACAACTAAAAATATTTTTAAAAAATAAGAATACAAATAATAGGGGCTGGGGTTCTGGCTCAGAGGTAGAGCGCTTGCCTAGCATGTGTGAGGCCCTAGGTTCGATCCTCAGCATCACATAAAAATAAATAAACAAAATAAACGTATTGTGTACAACTAAAAAATAAACATTATGGCGGCCGGCGAGGAAGCAGCGACTCCAACGTCTCCACTTTAACGGGATATGAAAGACTCATCGAAACAGCTGCAGCCTAGCTACGGAGGAACTTCTAGCATAACTTCCTTAAGAGGAGAGCTGCCGTGAACTGGTAGGTTTACTCGAAGTGACAGGTTGCCCCAGAGAAGTGGATCTTGGAAGGCCACGCGGGCACAGAGGTCTAGTCCCCCAACCATCAGCCG